TATTTTGGGGGAAAAAGAGGGGGAAAACGAAGCTCAGGAGAGGATGGTAGACAGATAGTTTGAAAAGATATCTTTGATATATTGGTTTTATATTTGGAAATAACAATGGGTTTTTTTTGTTTTTGTTTTTAATAAAACACTACAGAAGGAATGAGAAAATTGTGTGTTAAAGAAAAGGGGACCTAATAAAAATAGAAGTATCAAGGTAGATAAACTTATGAATGGCAGATTCATTGAGTGGGAATAAGAGAAATACAAGGGGGTGAGGGGTATGTTTTCTGCCTTGAGGTTGAGACAATCATATCTTCCCCTAATTACCATACTGAGTATATTTAACATTGTCCAGCTTTTTTTTTTGAGATGGAGTCTCGCTCTGTCGCCCAGGCTGGAGTGCATTGGCGCAAGGTCTCACTGCAAGCTCTGCCTCCCGGGTTCATGCCATTCTCCTGCCTCACCCTCCCAAGTCACTGGGACTACAGGTGCCTGCCACCATGCCCGGCTAATTTTTATATTTTTAGTAGAGATGGGGTTTCACCATGTTGGCCAGGCTGGTCTCAAACTCCTGACCTCAGGTGTTCTGCCTGCCTTGGCCTCCCGAAGTGCTGGGATTACAGGCGTGAGCCACTGTGCCCAGCCCACATCATCCAGCTTTTAAGTGATGACTGTGGTTTCAGTTTATTCTACTTAGGAAATACAATTTAATAATAATATATTAAAATGAGATTTTTTTTTGAGAGATCTAAAAATCGATTGTATAATCCATTTCTTTGTAAGAAGAGCAATTTGAAAAATAGTTATATTTTTTAGCACTATACTCATGATAGTGGTTACCTATAATGGGAAAGGAAGGGGATAGTAAGAGCAGATGCGATCAATTTGTGTGTTTTTTTTTTTTTTTTTAAGACAGGGTCTTGCTTGTCACCCAGGCTAGAGTGACACGATCTTGGCTCACTGCAACCTCCACCCCCTGGGTTCAAGCAGTCCTTCCACCTCAGCCTCCTGAGTAGCTGGGACTACAGGCGTACCCTACCACACCCAGCTAATTTTTTGTGTTTTTGCTAGAGACTGGGTTTTGCCATGTTGCCCAGGCTAGTCTCGAACTCCTGAGCCTCGAACTCCTGAGCTCGCCTCTGCCTCCCAGAGTGCTAGGATTGCAGGCGTGAGCCACCACACCTGGCCAATAATGTTTTATTTATTAAATTGGATGGTGGGTTCATGGGTATTTCTTTTTTTTGAGACAGAGGCTCTGTTGCCCAGGCTGGAGTGCAATGGTGTGATCTTGGTTCACTGCAACCTTTGCCTCCTGGGTTTAAGCAATTCTCCTGCCTCAGCTTCCCGAGTAGCTACAGACGTGCACCACCACTCCCAGCTCATTTTTGTATTTTTAGTAGAGATGGGGTTTCGCCATGTTGGCCAGGCTAATCTCAAACTCCTGACCTCAGGTGATCTGCCTGGGTTGGGCCTCCCAAAGTGCTGGGATTACAGGTGTGAGCCACTGTGCCTGGCCATGGGTATGTTTAATAAAGTTCTTCATACCTTTTTGTAGGCTTTAAATATTATAAAATAATTCTGCAACTTTTTATTACATAAAATGTTCAACTTACGTATACCCTTCACTTAGATTCAGCAGTTTTTAACTTTTTGCTGTGTGGGGTTTTATCTCTACATCTGCATATCTATATTTATATACATACTTTTTTCCCCTAAACTCTTTGAAAGTAAATTTCAAACATGATGACATTTCATGCCTAAATATCACAGCATTCTTAAGAATAAGGATGTTCTTTTATATAACCATTACTATTTTCTTAAAGACTGTGATAATTAATTCTATTATGTTAACCTAATATCCAGTCTGTATTCAGATTTCTTTAGTTGTCCCTAATATGTATGTGTTTGATAGTAGTTTTAACTTTGTATAATAAAGGCTCACATACAGCGTTTGTTTTTTTTTGAGATGGAGCCTCACTTTGTTGCCCAGGCTGGAGTTCAGTGGCGCAGTCTCGGCTCACTGCAAGCTCCGCCCCCTGGGTTCATGCCATTCTCCTGCCTCAGCCTCCCGAGTAGCTGGTACTACAGGCGCCTGCCACCATACCCTGCTAATTTTTTTGTATTTTTAGTAGAGATGGGGTTTCACCGTGTTAGCCAGGGTGGTCTCGAACTCCTAACCTTGTGATCCATCCGGCTCAGCCTCCCATAGAGCTGGGATTACAGGCGCGAGCCACCGCGCCCCGCCATTATTTGGGTCTTTTTTTTTTGAGACAGAATCTCACTCTGTCGCCTAGGCTGGAGGGCAGTGGCACAATCTCGGCTCACTGCAACCTCCGCCTCCTGGGTTCAAGCAGTTCTCTGCCTCAGCCTCCCGAGTAGCTGGAATTACAGGCATCCTCCACCATGCCAGAGACGGGGTTTCACCATCTTGGCCAGGCTGGTCTGGAACTCCTGACTTTGTGGTCCACCCGCCTCAGCCTCCCAAAGTGCTGGGATTACAAGTGTGAGCCACCATGCCTGGCCCAGCATTTGGTTGCTGTGTCTCTTAGTCTCCATATGGAATCTTCCCTCCACTGTTTTTTGATACTAACTTTTTGAAGAGTCCAGGCCAATACAGTTTTCTGTTGCCCTTTTATTTTACCTTTGTCACCTGATTTCTAAGAATGGACTGATACGATTCTCTTAATTATATCTTGCAGATTATTATTGTCTAATTATTTTGAGAGTAAAACTTGTTATTCTTTAAATACATGCTCTGTTTGGCAGGTAGGTATTATTTAGAGCTCTTCCTGCTTTATTCATTTCCAGTTATATTTAAGAATGTAATGATGATATGCACATTTGATTGTTCATTGTTAATGTTGCTTAAGAAAGTGTTGATTTTTTTTTGAGACAGAGTCTCTGTCAGTGGTGTGATCTCGGCTCACTGCAAGCTCCGCCTCCTAGGTTCACACCATTCTCCTGCCTCAGCCTGAGTAGCTGGGACTACAGGCGCCTGCAACCACGCTCGGCTAATTTTTTTGTATTTTTAGTAGAGATGGGTTTCACTTTGTTAGGCAGGATGATCTCGATCTCCTGACCTTGTGATCTACCCGCCTCAGCCTCCCAAAGTGCTGGGATTACAGGCGTCAGCCACCGCGCCCAGCCAGAAAGTGTTGATTTACTTAGGGTATAGTCAGAATGATTCATTTCAAACTTAGTGGCATGTAAGGGATATCTGTTTAACCATAGGAAAGATGGGGCATCAGCAATTCAAATAAATTCCAAGGATTGAATTAGTATTGGCAAAGAACTGAGTTTATTTTTTGGATTTGACAGTAGCCTGAGTAGTTCTCTGGTTACTTCATATATTTAAATCAGTTCCTTTCTTTCAGCTGTGACATAAATTTTTACTGGCAGGACACTCCATTTGTTATATTTTCCTAACAGTCTTTATAATAAAGAAAAATCGGTGAGTCATTTAAAATAGCCTTAATGAGATTTAATTTTCTTAAAACAATTGTTAAATTTTAATGGCAAAATAGTGCTTTCAGATTAGTCTGGTTATGGAGAAAAAAACTTTAAAATTTTTTTGTATAGACAAGGATGTACATGGTGGAAGTCATTTCTGAAGTTATGATGCAAGAGAAGTGCCTAATGGCATTTGTAAATACAGATCTTTGTCTTAATGGTACTTGAATAAGTAAATGAAAGCTATTTGCATTTTCAAAGTAATTTTTACAGATAACTACGTTTAAAAATAAAGTTTAAGACCATATTACATTTTGAAACATCCTGCCCCGCGTACTCGAAGATACACAATATTCCGTAGATGCCCAGGAGAGCTTGCATTTTTGAGTAGTTCTTGTTCATCCCCCTGACTTGCAAAGATAGTACCCTTGTATGAATTTAAGTTGTCATGTGTTTAATTAATTTATGCTGCTAAGTGAGTATCTTCAAGTTATAGTGGGACTGGATAACGAATTAAACAAGAACAAAAGATGATACAAATCTACATTACAGGAAAGATAAGAATATTATCTTCATGTTGAGGAAAAATTTTTAATTGGAACTTTTTGTTCATTTGGACTAGTTGAGATTTTGATTTTATGGAGGTAAGACTGAAATGAGTATCAAATGTGCTTCCAGTTGTAGCATGCCCTATGTATCTGCTAAATTTTCTTTCTGAGATTTTCTTGAAGTGGAAATGTTATTAAATAATATCTTTGTACTTCTTACTGAGATAGAATACTCCCTTTTTAGAGATTAAAAATTTTAAAACAAACAATTGATTATTTTATTCTCATATCCTTTTGCTAGCTTGTGAATTGCAATTTGGTTTGGGATTTTAAAAATGTTTACTTTTTTAAGAGGTGGAGTCTCGCTCAGTCGCGCAGGCTGGAGTACAGTGGTATGATCTCGGCTCACTGCAACCTCCGCCTCCCGGGTTCACGCCATTCTCCTGCCTCAGCCTCCCAAGTAGCTGGGACTACAGGCGCATGCTGCCACGCCCGGCTAATTTTTTGCATTTTTAGTAGAGACGAAGTTTCACCGTGTTAGCCAGGATGGTCTCGATCTCCTGACCTCATGATCCGCCCGCCTCGGCCTCCCAGAGTGCTGGGAAAAATGTTTACTTTTTAAGCAGATTTGAATTTACTAAAAGATGCAATTCAAGTTAGACTTAAAATTTTTTTTTCTTTTTTTAAGACGGAGTCTCACTTTGTCACCCAGGCTGGAGTGCAGTGGCACAATCTCGGCTCACTGCAAACTCCACCTCCCAGATTGAAGCCATTCTTCTGCCTCAGCCTCCACGGTAGCTGGGACTACAGGCATGTGCCACCACTCCTGGCTAACTTTTGTATTTTTAGTAGAGATGGGGTTTCACCATGTTGGCCAGGCTGGTCTTGAACCTCTGACTTCAAGTGATCCGCCCACCTCGACCTCCCAAAGTGCAGGGATTACAGGCGTGAGCCACCGCGTTCAGCCTTAGACTTAAAAATTTTTAACTAGAAATTATTTTCTCTTGCTAGGAGGCAGGTGGAAGTCATCATAAAGTTTCTGTTTCACCCGTCGTCCATGTTCGAGGACTCTGTGAATCTGTGGTGGAAGCAGACCTTGTGGAAGCGCTGGAAAAATTTGGGACAATATGGTAAGGACGATAGGGACTTCATGTAGATGGAAAACAGTGTGGCAGAATAATCCTTGCTTGCTTGTTACAAGCCTTGATGTTTAGCATAGTAAATACTGTTTGTATATATAAACAAAGTAGGATCTATTGTTTGCCTATGACTGTATTTCTTTGGAACGTTTTAAGCCTGCTATTTTTAACCTTCCTGGGTGATGCATGGATGTATTTTTGTGGAGCTATGATCACTTCTCACTCCCCAGCAAAGTTGTATAAAGAAATTATGTGCACTTTTCATCTGATTTTCAAATGGGTACATGAGTCCTGTTCAAACACTCTTTAAACCAGTGAGTTGATTACACGCTTCATCTTCAGAGTTTCGAGTAGTGATGCTTAAATATTGATTTTTTTCTTCTTGATTTTGGAATATTTAGGAATTGGCAACTAAAAGTAAATAGATTAAGGGTAGACATTATTTGTTTAGGTGCATATTTGTGTAAGTTCTTTTGTTTATGTGCATACTACTATGAGTTCTTTTTATTTTTTGAGACAGGGTCTCACTCTGTTGCCCAAGCTGGAGTGTAGTGGCACATTGATGGCTCACTGGAGCCTCCACCTCCTGAGCCCAGTTATCCTCCCATTTTATCCTCCCTAATGGCTAGTGCTACAGACACATGCCACTATGCCTGGGTAATTAAAAAAAAATTTTTGTGGAGATGGGGGTCTCTTGACATTGCCCCAGCTGCTGTCGTGGACTCAAGCTGTCCTCCTACCTCAGCCTCCAAAAGTGCTGGGATTATAGGCTCTCTGAGTTCTTAATGCAAATCATGAGCAATATTTTATCCTAGTTTGTCTTCCTTTTGTGAGTTGTATTCACACAGGTTCCCCCTGTCTCTTCCCACAGCTGGTGTATGCTTAATAATATTAACTTAAGTGAAAACGTAATTAGAAAAGTGAATCTGCTGCCAAAAATAGACACTTAAAAATTCTAAATTATTTTTGGAGTATGCCCGGCTGTTGTTCTTTTCTTAGTATAATCTAGAGTTGATTTTATTATTTTTTTCTTGATGAATATGTTTAGAGCTTTTATTATAGCTACCGAAGACACAGATCAAGTTCAAGTATATAAATAGAAGAGAAATTTCAATGTATTTTCTCAGATACTTACTACTTCAATTTTATAAAAATTCATGGTTAAGTTTTTGAGTATTGAGAGGATAATGCATAGATAGTGACGTAGTGATCAGAGATGTCCAGCAGGAGGGTATCCAGCAGAAATGGATTATTTCTTCAAAGGAATAGTAGTATTAGGTGATACCTTCCATCATGGTATAATTTTATTTTCTTCGGTGACCTCATTGAGAAGTAAATGACTTGGCAAATACACATTAACCTTGGACGTACAAATTGAGAATCCACGTGGGCATAGTAAAGTTTGTATGTTGAAAGTGTATCACTAAGTTGATTATATCAATTCTCAGTCATTTGGAGTGGATATTGGAATTAAATCTGTGTGGAGAGTTACATATTAGGTAGACAGACTCCTTAGACCTTTAGTCTTGCTGTTGGCAGTAGACTAACCCCAGTCTCTATAAGGACCTTCTAATGATTATGTAAGTGGCACGTTGTCCTGTGGAATTATAAAGAGGTGGATGTCTGTGCTTTATTTTTCTTCTATTCTTGTATATTTAGGGCTTTAAAATTTATTTTCTTAGGCAGATGTCAGAAAACAAGTTGATGAGCAAATACAAATGGAAACTTTGGGAAGCACTAACTATTTTGATGTTAATTAGTACCATGACCTGAAGGTTAGGGATTAAAGAAAGAACTATTTTAAGTTAGTAATTTGAATTACTCCTGGGTGGCCTTTGCATTTTTAGACTCTAGGTTGTTTGATACTTAGTCTCCGGTAAAGTCTTCCGTATGTGAATGTCATTCAGTTAATTTGCATCATTTGCCCTCAAGATTGGTAGTTATGTGGTTAGAAAAGTCTGTGAAATAATTGGAACAAATTAGTGTGTAATTAAGAGCTTAATTGGCATAAATAAGTATAATAGGAGTTTCAGTTGTATGAAATGAACTTGCATAAGAGGTGGCTGCTATTAAGGCTGAAAGAACCTTGAACAGACTCCAGTAGAAATTTTGCTTCAAAATGTTACAATTTGGAACCTTTCCCTTTATTTAGTGGAAGGTGTGGGATTATAAACAGCATAGAAACTGTTTATATTAAAATGGTGAATTACCAAGTTCAATATATAGTATGCTTATATCTAAAAACTAGATGCATAGGAAAGAAGCTCAGAAGAAAATATAACAAGATATTAAGAATGGTTGTGTTGTGTCAGGATAAAATTGCTTGTATTTGTTAACGTTTGTTATTTTTCTATACTGTATGAATTATAATCAAAAGAATATTTAAAGTATATGTTGTATTTCTTTTTCCCCTTCTCTCCCATTAAAGGAGATATTAGGAAATGATCAGTTTTACAATACAACATTTGGGACCCGGTTTGTGCACTAAATCTGTTGTCTTCTCCTATGTTTTTTTTTAGAAATTAGTAAAGATGTTTAAATTGATGGAGTTAAAAGCATTGATCCCACCATGTCCCTTAGCTTTTTTGTTTCTTTAGCCTTTTGTCTCTTTGATCTCCCACTCTTTCTCATATTAATACCTTTTTTCTTTATTTTTTTGAACTCCTGGGCTCAAGCAGTCTTCTCACTTCAACTTCCCAAGTAGCTGGGACTATAGGCACAAGCCACCATACCTGGTTTCATATGAGTGCGTTTTAAAGATTGAAAAAAAACTGTGCACCAGACAATTTAAGCACATGGTAAAATGTCTGTAACATTTCAGTTTTTTTATATTGAATATTGGCAATAAAAAGGAAAATAAAACATTTTAATTTTTTCTTCATTGATGCTACTTTTCTGGGTAACCTTCACTTTTAAGTTGTGCTTTTATCTCATTTCTTTTTTTTTTTTTTTGAGACAGAGTTTCACTCTGTCACCCAGGCTGCACTGCAGTGGCGTGATCTCGGCTCACTGCAACCTCCGCCCTCTGAGTTCAAGCAATTCTCCTGCCTCAGCCTCCCAAGTAGCTGGTATTACAGGCACCTGTCATCGCACCCAGCTAATTTTTTTTTTTTTTTTTTTGAGACGGAGTCTCACTGTCGCCCAGGCTAGAGTGCAGTGGCACGATCTCGGCTCACTGCAAGCTCTGCCTCCTGGACTCACACCATTCTCCTGCCTCAGCCTCCCAGGTAGGTGGGACTACAGGCACCCACCACTATGCCTGGCTAATTTTTTGTATTTTTAGTAGAGACAGGGTTTCACCGTGTTGGCCAGGCTGGCCTTGAACTCCTGACCTTGTGATCCACCCACCTCGGCCTCCCCAAAGTACTGAGATTACAGGCATGAGCCACCGCACCCGGCCAGCTCACTTCTTATTTTAGTTACTGAAAGCAAATTTACTAAGTCTCTAACAGGCCAATAAATAATTTACTTCTGTATCTGTATTAGTCTGTTGTTAACATTGCTATACTGCTATAAAGATGTACTTGAGAGTGGGTAATTTATAAAGAAAAGACATTTAATCGGCTCATGGTTCTGCAGGATATACAGTCTTCTGCTTCTGGAGTGGCCTCAGAAAACTTAGAATCATGGCAAAAGGTGAAGGGGAAGTAGGCATGTCTTTACATAGCCAGCAGGAGAGAGAGAGAAAAAAAGAGAGAGGGAGAGAGAGCGCGCACACAAAGGGGGAGGTGTTGCACACTGTCAAACCACCAGATCTTGTGAGAACTCTGTCAGGAGACAGCACTAGGGGGATAGTGCTAAGCTATTAGAAACCACCCCCATGAGCCAATCACCTCCCACTAGGCCCCATCTCCTACACTGGTGATGACAATTCAATACGAGGTTTGGATGGGGACATAGAGCCAAACCATATCAGTACCTTTATAATTTTGTTTTCAAATGGCATCATTAGCATAATGACATAAACTTAGTAATACATTTAGATATTAAACCAACTTTTTTGTTTTGTGAAAGAAGATTTTTTCTCCTTGAATTTCTTTAGCATAGACCTGATACCAGGATTTTCTGTTTTCCATGTGCAAGACTTTAGAACTTCAGTGAAGCGTCTGTGTTTCTAAAATGAATGTCTCCTGGGATTTATATCTTGCACTTTTAGTTGGTAAATATTTAAATCCAACACCTTGTTTTTGTACTTCTTTAATTTTGAATGATACGGGTGGGGAAAACTAACAAGCCCCCTAGAGTAACAAATATGTGCCAGGCTCTGTTTCTAGCTTCTGAGGACATAAAGATGAATGAGGAAAGGTATGTTAAAAAAATAATAATACAGTCATAGTTACCTTTTATTGAGGGTGTACAACGTGCAAGGCAATCCGCTTAGCAGTTTGTATGTAGTAACTCTAATCTTGACAATTCTCCCAAGTTTTATCAATGAGGAGGCTGACATTTATTATAATAATAATTTGCTAGGCTGTAAGGTGATCTGTTTCTTATTAATACTGTACCATTCGTCAGTTTCCATAGTGTAGCAGTAGGTCCTGGATGCCTGATTGAGAAACAGTGATGTCACTGAGTACTGGACCCGACATTTCTTTGGCCTTCTGCTATTACTAAAACCACTTAATTGTATTTTAAAGCATTTTTAAGGTTCTCGTTCCTGTGAATAGAGGACGTGTTTCCCCCATTGTGATCCATGTGCTGTGATTTCTGTCTTCCACCCTTCCTTTACTTCTTTATTCTTCATTTTCTGTTTTAAAATGTATCTCCTCCAAAAAGAACTACTTAATGTGTTGTATTTTGGGGTTTTTTGGCTGCTTTGTTTGTCTCTCTAGTAAAGAGTATACTATGAAAAGTAAACATCTTACCTTCCTGCTCATAGACAATCATGATTGCCATATTCTAATGAATTTTTTTCATGGATGGTTAATAGTAAAAATGTTTCGGAGGAGATTATTTGTATGAACTTTGGAACTTTGGTCAGTCTGTGGTTGCTTCCATTTATATCTGTTTTAAAAGTAAAGTCAGTTCTTAGCTGTTAGTGTGGATGTTTATTCAAGAAAATTCAAGAGAGGTTCGTAGTTTCTGCTGTTAAGTAGGGATTCTGTCTGCCAACCTTCTGTTGAGTTTGGTCTCCGTTGGTTTCTGTGTCTTTGAAATTTTCTAATACTGCTTCGGAGTAGCACCCCAAAGAATAAACTGGGTTGTCTTGTTAGTAACTAATAACAGGTAATTGTTTTTGAGGAGATCATGAGGTAGATAAACTTAATCACTGGGAGATAAGCTTTCATATGTGTACATCTACCTGGTGTACCACAATTCTTTGGATGATTTAAGAGTTGATTTATTTTATGCCTGTAATCCCAGCACTTTGGGAGGCTGAGGTGGGCGGATCATGAGGTCAGGAGATCGAGACCATCCTGGCTAACACAGTGAAACCCTGTCTCTACTGAAAATATAAAAAATTAGCTGGGCATGGTGGCGGACATCTGTAGTCCCAGCTACTAAGGAGGCTGAGGCAATAGAATGGCGTGAACCCAAGAGGCGGAGCTTGCAGTGAGCCCAGATCGCGCCACTGCATTCCAGCCTGGGTGATAGAGACTGACTCTGTCTCAAAAAAGAGTTGACTTACATTGAACACAGGTAGTGAAGAGTACTAATCTGTGGGATTTGACACATTTGTATTAAAGTCTGCTTTTACCTAATTGAGGACAAATAATGTTAACGGAACTTCCTGTGTTTTTGTGTTTCCTCCTTATCTCCCTTTTCAGCTATGTGATGATGATGCCATTTAAACGACAGGCTCTAGTGGAATTTGAAAACATAGATAGTGCCAAAGAATGTGTGACATTTGCTGCAGATGAACCCGTGTACATTGCTGGTCAACAGGCTTTTTTCAACTATTCTACAAGCAAAAGGATCACTAGGCCAGGAAATACTGATGATCCATCAGGAGGCAACAAAGTTCTTCTGCTCTCAATTCAGAATCCGCTTTATCCAATTACAGTGGTATGTGTTTCAGTGTGACAAATGAAATTAAAAGTGATTTTGCAGTTTGTGTCCAGAGTGACTGATCTGTAGTTTTTTCATTACCATCTAGATACTAGGAAATAGCTTTTTTAATTTTGAAAATTAATCTTGACTAGCAAGTTTAATGAACAAAGAAAAAATGCTGAGCACTGTAGTTAAAAAGATAAGCACAGTTGTCATAATTAAATAGGCACATTGAAATTTTTAATGTATAATCAGTACCAGTGTTGGTTTTGATAATAAGGAATTAGAGAGACTTGTTTGAAATGGTTCAAAAAATCTCTGTCACGCATATGCCAGCATATGTGTAAGAGCATCTACTAGGTAGTGACAGAATCCCATGTTACGGTAAGATGCACATACCATTTTGAACTATTTTGCAATAGCTTGTTAAAAATCTGTCTTTGATTTACTTTAAATTCCCTGCTTCTTTACTCTTTTGAAAAGTGTTACTGGTGATAAGCTAGTAACACAGACACTTGATTTTTGTAATGAATAGAAGAACATCATAGTAAGGGAAACTTCAGTTGGTATCATATGTAGTCTGGGCATATGATACTGGGACATAAACTTAAAGCGTAAGATATTCTTTAGATTTAATTAGACATTTTGTATCTTAAATATAGACTTATAAATATATAGAATTAATATATTTATAATCGGTGTTGGGAAAACATATAAGTAATATAGTATAGGTACTCTGTTTTTTGTTATATCTCTGGTGTGTAACAATGCAACTGTAAATTATAGGTGCTCAAGAAATTTCTTGGTAGTTGAATAGTTACTCCTAAGTAGGTATTTAGAATCTTAGATGACTCAGGCGTCTTGTTTAGTGACATCTAACTGTTTGATCTTCCTTGGGACTTTTCTTTATAGCCATTATCCCTTGAAAAATGAGTACCAGAGTTGTTCTAATATTAGCCCTTAATACATATTTATTACTATAATGCAAGTGATTATAATATTAAACATTTCAGAGTCACATTTGGAAAAAATACTCATTGATTATAGTTTCGGTTTATTTTATATCATCAGAAGTTATTTTAGTCACCTATTAAGAAAATAACAATTGAGGATTCATTTAGGAGATAAAATAGGTGACAGTGCTTTCCAAATGTTCCATTGGAACTACTTTAATGTGGGTGTATTGTTTAGGTGAAGAAATAACTTAAGATTTATTAAAGTGTAATAATTTTAGGCCAGTATGGTGGTTCATGCCTGTAATCCTAGTATTTTGGGAGACTGAGATAGTAGGATTCCTTGAGCTTAGGAGTTTGAGGCAGCCTGGGCAACATAGTGAGACTCTGTCTCTACAGAAAATGAAAAATTAACCTTGTGTGGTGGTGCATGCCTTGAAGTCTCAAAGCTACTTGGGAGGCTGAGGTGGGAGGATCGTTTCAGCCTGGGAAGTCAAGGGCTGTAGGGAACTGTGATCATGCCACTGCGCTCTAGCCTGAGCAACAGTGTGAGACCCTATCTCAAAAAAAAAGTAATAATTTAAAAATCTAATTTTATTAATAATCAATAGAAATGACATCTTGACAGTTGATGGTTTTTAGGTAAAACAAAACGAAGCATAGCATTAATGTTTTTCCAAATGTAAAGTGTGAAGAAATCTTGTTCTTTTCCTTCATAGGATGTTTTATATACTGTCTGCAACCCTGTTGGCAAAGTGCAGCGTATTGTTATATTCAAAAGAAATGGGATACAAGCAATGGTTGAATATCCTTTATTTGTAAATTTTTATTGATGTGTAATTAATGCAGATCTTATTTTTTCTGGCTTAAGCATTTCTAGACAAGTGGTGTTTACTTTCTCCTCTCACAAAAATCTACGTGACTTAGATTTAAAAAATGAAACTGCAGTACTCATAGGGAATTTTACTATTTATAAGAATGACTTGCTACCAGAAAGCAATCTAGTACTTCCTCTTTAAGCTGTTAAATAACACTATTTGAAGATATGTACACTTGTACTATTTTGGAATTTATCCCAAGTGAACTTTTCTGACTCCCTCTTTAAAATAGTTTGGAAGTACCAAAACTTTAGAGTCAGTAAAATCTTACCTTTTTTTTTATTGAACCTTTAAAATGGTAATGGTTTATGTAAGAACTTCTTTATGTTAAATTTGTCACACGTTGAGTAAAAAGAGCAAGTTTTACAAAATAGTATAGATAATACTCTTTCCCCCAAGCTGGACCCATCTTGAAAAATAATAATAAAGAGAAAACCCCAACCTACGTGTGCATGTGTATGCATAGAAATAGGTAGGGATATACAGCAAACTCTTTAATAGTGCTTACTTCTGGCAAGGCACTTTTGTTTTTTTGTTTTTTTACCTTATATACCTTTGTGATTTTATTTTTTTTAAATTATGGAGTTAAGTATTATTTTTTTAAAACACTGATAAAATTTTAGATAAAGTATTATAAAACTCTGCCTTCTCAGAAATATATAAAAATCATATATTTTGTATTATTTTGGGTCTTTGTAATATTCTTCTTAAAGAGTAAAATCTTTTCTGTTTCAAGGTTGCAAGTTGTCCTTTGCTAGGGAATGGGACCACGCTCCATTATCTCCTCTGCTTTCCAATTTATAAAGTACTAATGATGACCTAAAAGAATTAAGGTAGATAGTTTGGTTGTATTGTTTTCTTTGGTACCCTTGATTTTTTTTTTTTTTTTTTTTAAGACAGAGTTGTGGTCAAGTGATTCTCCTGTCTCAGCCTCCCGAGTAGCTGGGATGACAGGCACCCACCACCACACCCGGCTAATTTTTGTATTTTTAGTAGAGACGGGGCTTCACCACGTTGACCAGGCTGGTCTCGAACTCCTGAGCTGCCTCAGCCTCCCAAAGTGCTGGGATTACAGATATGAGCCACTGTGCCCAGCCACCCTTGATCTTAAAAATAAATTCTCCTGGCCAGGCGCGGTGGCTCACGTCTGTGATCCCAGCACTTTGAGAGGCCAGGGTGGGCGGATCACGAAGTCAAGAGATCAAGACCATCCTGGCCAACATGGTGAAACCCTGTCTCTGCTAAAAAAATAAAAAATCAGCTGGGTGTGGTGGCGCACACCTGTAGTCCCAGCTACTCGGGAGGCTGAGGCAGGAGAATTGCTTGAACCCGGGAGATGGAGGTTGCAGTGAGCCCAGATTGCACCACTGCATTCCAGCCTGGCGACAGAGCAAGACTCCGTCTCAAAAACAAAACAAAACAAACAATTCTGTTAAAATTCATCCTGAAATAGGTAAAACATTTCCAGAAATAAAAGAGCTACTTCTGATTATTTTCAATCCTGTCCTTTGGGAGTGAATAATGATTAAGTATCAGATACCTTAAACCAAATTTCCTTAATAGAGCTTATGTTTGAATCAGTCCTTTGTGCCCAGAAAGCTAAAGCAGCACTCAATGGAGCTGATATATATGCTGGATGTTGCACACTAAAAATTGAATATGCACGGGTAAATATTTTTTTCAACACCCTACCAAAGAAATATTTATGCTTTGGATATACAGTTTGAACTTACATTATTTTCAATCTTAACAGCCAACTCGTCTAAATGTTATTAGGAATGACAATGACAGTTGGGACTACACTAAACCATATTTGGGAAGACGAGGTAGGTATTTCATGCATTTTAGAATGTACTTAATCTGCTGACAAATATTTACATGCAGTTAGATTCTTTTTTTCCTGAGATGAGCTAGTTCAAATGAAAACCTTGTTGATGAATGCTTTTGTTGCAAAAGGCCATGTAATGCTGGAAAATAACCTTGAACATTAGTGCCCCCTACTGGTATGTACTGAGCTATTTATATTTAGTTCAACAAGGAGCCCACACATTCAGGCACGCCCGCAGTTCAAGGACTTGCATTTCTCCAAGCAGCTCTCTCTCTTTGGAGGAGAGGAAACTGATTCAGAATATTCCTTACAAACTGCAAACTTGCACACTGCTTCTCTATGGAAAGGACTTTCCCCCAAGCTGGACGAGGCATTAAGAAGGATAGAGGACTCCAGCAGGCTGACTCTACACTTCATCATGCACAACATCGGCATCAGCAAAAAGCCCTCTGAAAAACTCAGACTCGCAATTCACCTTGACTGCATACTGCATGCACCATCACCCCAAGTTTTTAAAGGAGGACACTTAACAGTACTTCAGAATTGCATGGGATGAACACCATGATAGACTGTGCCCATTTATTCAAGTTGTATGTATATATTGGTCTGATTTCCCTTAAGGTTTCAGTTGTAGAAATTAAGACTTTCCACTAACGGAAACTAGACTTCATCTGCAATGTTGTAAATCTTAATGCCCATTACTGTAACTGTTTGCAGCTTAGATTCAAATTGTTAATTGGCAAATAACGAGGACCAGTTTATTAACAGGTCTTGGGAATTGATAACGCTCAACCAATCCACACAGATAGTAAAAATAAAAGGATTAGAAAGGTGCACACTTGCTGCACTTGTTTACTTTTTAAATTTTTTGTTTTTTCCTCAATTGTGGACACTAAACAAATTCTAACATAATGAAAAGGTGCATTATATGTGAAAGATGTTCTGTGTGGTTTGATTTTTGTAAAGTGGCTGTTTATAAGTTGTCACTTTTTGTAACAATTTAAGGTTATCACTATGTCAATTTGTGTAACTAGAAATTTTGACATTTCAAATGTAGGTGAAAGTAACATGTCTGTTCAAGGTAGAATATATTTAAACTTGATAAATCTGAAAATAAGAGCATTTCATTTGAGATGCATCTTCACCTATAAGTGCTAGATTTCATGAGCATAAATTTGACTGATAAAATTGTTCAACTAAGTGTGTGGCAATTCTGGAATATACAAATTAAAATGTGGATCTTGTAAAAACAAGGGGGCTGCAGTATTGGCTACATCTTAACTACAATATCAGTGTTTGAACCACAGATTGGAAAAACTCAAGATAAGTATGTCTGTAAAAGTCAGTGACTAGAAAAAAATTTTATGGCATACAAAATATCTTGGGCAGTGGGTACTCTATAGTGCATGTACTCTAGCAAAAAGAAAAAGACAATGTGATGATTGATCTTTTGCATGTTTGCATATTTAGGACTTTTACATGATTGGCTCCTTTAACTCTCAATTCCCAGGAAATGATCTTGCCTCATGCATGAAATTGCAAATAGATTTGTTTTGTAATGCAGCTTTGGCTAGACCCCATGTTTTTCACTACTTATGGAAATCTGCTTGGCCTAGGGTTGGTGCAGTTGATGTCAGTATTAAAAAGCAAATCCTTAGCACTCAAACAACAGGACAAGTGGTTGATGAGAAATCTCTCACTTCTGTCAATTTACAGTTTTTGACCACTCGGTTTTGTTTTTTAACAAAAAAATCTCATTTGAAATAGTTTTGGTTGTGGTTTTCTCAGGGTCTCTTTTAACAGGTATAGATAAGCTTATTTTAATAGTGTTTACATTTATTCTTTTAAAAGGTCTGAAGTTTACACAAAGCCAGCTGAGGTTAGTTCTTCATATAATTCTAGTCGGTCAGATAAGTTTGGAAATGTGTAAGGTAGATAAGTGAATAGTGAAATATAATTAAAGCAAGTAAAAGAGTTTTAGTTTATGCTTTCAAGGAATTTTTTTTGTTTTCTAATTCCTTACAGATATTTGTCTTGCAAGACCATAACAGTTTATGTTTTTGTTTCTGTAGAGCTCTTAGCTTACACTCAAGTTGATAGCTATTGAAACTGTTAGGTTGCTATCCCTAAATAAAGACCTTCATAAACTTTTTTTTACCAAAAAAAAAAAAAAAAAAAAATAGCTCTTTTAAAAACATAACTTCACTTTTTTCAAAGCCCTTTTCAGCTTGAGTTATATTTTAGTGTAAAGAATCCCTAACCAGGATGCCGGACCCCTCCAGAAATCTTAAAACCTGTAGATAGGTGCATCTTTTTGGGGAGAAGGTCCACAGCTTCCATCAGATCAATTGACTCTAGGAAGGCTTACCACTGTTTAGAAACTTACATTTAGCCGGGCGCGGTGGCTCAAGCCTGTAATCCCAGCACTTTGGGAGGCCGAGACGGGCAGATCACGAGGTCAGGAGATTGAGACCATCCTGGCTAACACAGTGAAACCCCGACTCTACTAAAAAATACCAAAAAAACTAGCCGGGCGAGGTGGCGGGCGCCTGTAGTCCCAGCTACTTGGGAGCCTGAGGCAGGAGAATGGCGTAAACCCGGGAGGCGGAGCTTGCAGTGAGCTGAGATCCGGCCACTGCACTCCAGCCGGGGTGACAGAGCGAGACTCCGTCTCAAAAAAAAAAAGAAAAAAAAAAGAAACTGTTATATTTAGTGTTCAGCTTTCTGCTCACTTCTGTTTTACGTGACCTATTAGGTAGCGAATACTTCAAATGAAGGGAATTATTAATGAGAATGTTTGGCTGAAAGATACCTTGGAAGATAATCTAACTCCTTCATTTATGAATGAAAATTGTTTCTGTGACTATACAGCAAACTAGTGGTTTAAATTGGAATCATCTGATTCCCAACCCAGTTCTCTTTCCTTTATAGCACACTGTTAACTCAGTAAAACTGAGTCATGAAGACATTATGGTTGTGGTTTTAAGATTCCTAGGTCAGATAAGGAATTGTATTTAGTGTTCGATGGCATATGCTTAAGCAGAGGAATATTAACAGGATGGATTAGTAGGCTAGATTGGCTCAAAAGGAGTGAGACTTGCATGATGAGAGACGTTAGAAGCCATGTAGTAGAAGGAACTGTGAATGTTAAGATTGAAGAAGAAATGACTTGGGGGAAATGGGGTCGGGGGGACAGTCATAATAACTACTCAAGCATTTAGAAGAGGTTTTGGACAATGACTAAGTCTGTAAGGCCCCAAATGGGGTAGAATATGGGTAGAGGATCAATTTCTATACAATATAAAAATTAATTTTCTCACAATTTAGGGCTATCTGGAAATCTTCTTATTGGTTTTGGGTAAGCAGAAGCTAAATGGTCCCAACTGACAGAGATGATGTAAAGAGAATTTTTACATTGAATAAAAGTTAAACTAGATGGTGTCAGTCCATTTCAATGCTACAATAACTTGGAATACATGATTAAAACTCTACTTCTCTAGACTGAAGTGAAAATTAAAGTATTTCTCATCTCCCATAAACCTCATTTGTTTAAATGACTAAGGATATAGGTAAAGCCTCTCTGAATATTCAAGGATTAGAATGACCAGAGTCTTAAGATTCATATTTTTAAAAATCTTATTGGGCACTGTAATTTCATCAGCAAACTTTCTAAAAGTATTGTACAATGATTTTTAAAATTTACTAACCAACATGGGAGGTGCTATTTTAGAAACTTATAAGTAATTTTTTTGTTGATGTCTCTAATTAGATTTGGGAAAATTGGCATGCTTTTTCTGAAAATGTAGCTAGAATAAAAATTATCCTTTAGAGTATTGTAGTATTCTCATCCAATAATGTAGCCCCCTTGGTTAGCTTTATCTTGGCATCTTTAAAGTTTGGGGGTTGCTCATAGTCCTACCTGGTGTTAAGGTCAATAGACAATGACCTATTCATGATATAATATGAGCCAGTGATGTGAACATTTTCAGCTCTCAAGTCAGGTGTTTGTAAATATGTGCATATACATGTAAAATACTCTGTGTTTACTGATTGTGAAACCATGTAATACAGGTTGTTGTTGGCTTATGCTGAAACTTCTTGAAAGAAGCCCACTTTGAAAATGTGTTGCTGTTGAAGCTAATAGTATGATTCAGGTACTGTCTTTCAAAAGTACTGCACTTAAAGCTTGTTTTAAAGACATGTATTGGTAAAAACTTCTGTACAGTGTCAAACCTCTAGCATTGTGTACATTCACTTTCTGAAAAGTATCCATTCTTCCTTAAATTTGAAAGTGTGATTGTATTTGGCATTTGCCAAAAAGATATATTCAAGTTAAGTGGAATTTGTTAGATAGAATTAATTTTTTACACTCTTGGTGTTGTATTTAAATTGGATATGAATGGATGTTTAAAGTTAACCAGGAATCATATTTTTTTTATGAATTGTTGTATTGGATGTTTTGAATGGGTGTTTCCCATCTGAGAACTCTGTTAAGTACTTGGGTCAAAATTGTTAAAATCATGTTTCTACTTTTGTGTCAGATAGAGGAAAGGGTCGCCAGAGACAAGCCATTTTGGGAGAACACCCTTCTTCGTTTAGACATGATGGCTATGGTAAGTTGTCAAGGCAGAAAGAAGGTAGTATAGATGAACTGTTTGACTTGCTGCATTTCTGATGAAGTATGGCACATTTCTTGTCTCTGTATTTTTCCTGCGCATCTGCCTTGGTTTATATGGGATCAGTCCCTTATAATGTACTCCCAGGAGTTGTCCAAAATTTGTTTTCTTAGGATATTGATTATAAAAAAAAACATTGAGATAAGTGAGAGCTACTAGTCGGGGATTGAATACTTTTTTGCCATTATATTTTGGTTTGGTTTTGATTTTTAATGGGTTCTGGCTTGTAAGAGGACCAGAAAGAAGAATTATTGTTCAGTAAGTGTATTTTCTTTCATTCCAGCAATTAGGAACAAAGAGGAATTTTGAGTAATAAAGGCAGAAAGAATAGGGTATTTGTCAAAAAGGAACCATGCTTTTGGTTAGACTCACCTTTTAGTTCTATAGCTGGTATTTTGGCTTCAGTTAAATTTGTTCATATTTATTCCCCTTTTAAAACTTCTCAGCTTTTACTGTTTGCTACGTTGACAAGGTTATGGAACCTAGAATAATAATCTGCCCCAGGAAAAAGTTAGGGTAACATTAGGTATCAAACTATTGTCCTTATAAGTAGATCTTTTAACTAGCTGTAAATGGTTTTAAAATATTCTTTAGTTTTTAGTGGTAGTTATTGACTCTACCTATTCTGTGCTTTAAAGTTGAAGCACAATACTATTAAAAGTGGCAGAAAATAGAAATTGCTATGTTGTAGTCTTGGGATTGGTCACTGAAAAGCACCTAGTATTGCCTATTGTCCTAAATGGTTCAAATTGCTTACATATTTACTTTAATGACCATTCTTAGCTGTGAGTTTTGGCTTATTTTCTAGTGTTTTTCTTTTGAACTCTGGTGGGGGGGAGAGAGAGAGAGAGAGAGAGAGAGAGTGTGAGAGTGTGTGTGTGTGTGTGTGTGTGTGTGTGTGTGTGTGTTTTAAGGTTCCATAGTCTATATGGCAGAAAAGATTGAAACCATCTCTGTTTTGTCAAAACAGTAAGTGTGGTATAGAATGAAAATCTTACTACAGTTGGTTTAGTGAATGTGTACCTTGATTATTTTTCTTAGTTATTCCTGTAACAGAGTAAATATTAAACATGGTTGTATGGGTAGTTCTGATCCTGCAATAAAGAAACATTGGGTGTCTTTTGCACTTTGATAATGGAGGATTACAAAAAATTTGCCGTTGCAAGTTTGTAGTATAGTTGTAGAGTCATGGCAGTCAGCTGAAGGCTAAAACCTGGTTAAATAGTTTGCCAAAGGGGATTAGAAACATCTGTGAAAGAATAAATGGCGGACAAGGAACTGTACTGTAGTAGTGTGGAAACAGATTTTTTCTTAGTATAAGTCTGCCTTCCTTTATAAAATTTTTACCAAAAAATAGTATAAACAAAATATGTTATATAGCCTGCAAAAATTTTTTATTTTTAAAAAGCCTATTGTGAAATTTTTTGAGAGTTGTGGTGGGATTGTATTAGGGGGATATCCATTCTGACCTGTCTCCATTAAGATATTTAACTCTGAGGTTAATTTGTTCTACTTTTCTAGAGAAGTAAGCAAAATGGGATATAGGAGGAAAGAGAGTGAATAAAGAGGCAGAGAAGTGAAGTAAGATGAGTAATAGGGGAAAAAGCAAAGATGGGGATGTGTGCTAGTGATATTGAGCCTTTTGACAAATATTGCAAATCCAAATGTATCCCTTCAGAACAGCAGTTCGGCAAAACAGGTTTACTTGCATTTTGGAATCACCTTATAGATTACCTTTCCTTTTCCTATATGATGACCTATAAGGGAATAGAAAGAGTTAATTATGGTTCAGGACCCATAGATTCCATCAGAGTAAGTTTATTCATTGGTTTATTATAGCAGTATGAAATATATGTGAATCATCACAATTCTTTACATCTTTTAATTTGGGAAGCCCAGACTTAATGATATGAGCTGGTAGAAGCTTTCTTAGTTGAACTGTGGCAGAAATTGATATATAGATTTATTTGCTATAAGCTCAAGAAGAGTTTGTATATTAATTTGTAGCATCTTTGGATATGGTTTGTAGACCAAAGATTTTAAAGCTTAAAAGATGAAAAATGCCTTCAAGATGTTAATATACCATTTATTTTTCCACATCAGTTTTTTAAATATTTGAAGCATTAGTTTTTTGAACACCCAGACTTTCTATTATCAATTTAGTATAGAAAACTTTTAAAAGACTTCTGATTTTTCTTATCTTAAACAATATAGGTAATAATTTAAGTAGTATAGATAAGGTAATTTAATAATGATGGTTCAAAGTCATAATTATAAACATCAGTTATTCTTTTGGACTGATTTTGGTTGTTAGGACTGTAGATCTCAGAGGTTTTGGACCTTAGCCACTATACATAGAGTAAAAGTTTCCACTGCCTATCTACCATGTGTCTTTTTACTTCCATGAAAAAGAAAATTCAGTGTGTGATGATGGTGAAGTGTTATTACTGTATAAGCAAATGGTAGGTGGTGGGGAGGCAGTATATTATGTATATGTACTTTTGCAGTAGGAATAAGAATAATTGATATTTGAATCTTGGTGTGTGTATAACAGTCTAAGAGGCTAAAATATGTAATTACTAAACAGTCGCTCATTTGGATTGTTTTTTTTTTTTTTTTTTTTTTTTTTTTTGAGACGGAGTCTCGCTCTGTTGCCCAGGCTGGAGTGCAGTGGCGCGATCTCGGCTCACTGCAAGCTCCGCCTCCCGGGTTCACGCCATTCTCCTGCCTCAGCCTCCCGAGTAGCTGGGACTACAGGCGCCCACAACCGCGCCCACCTAATTTTTTGTATTTTTAGTAGAGACGGGGTTTCACCGTGGTCTCGATCTCCTGACCTTGTGATCCGCCCGCCTCGGCCTCCCAAAGTGCTGGGATTACAGGCGTGAGCCACCGCGCCCGGCTGGATTGTTTTGTTAAACTACCAGTTGACAATAAAAGGAGTAGTTGAAATCCATGACCAATTTAAGGAGACACTGATGATGATAAATTGATAAAGTATTCCTCCCTGAAACTGCCGAAATTCACACCGTGTTTGCGTGTGCTTGGTGGTAGTGTTACTGTGTTGTTATGAATGGCAGCTGTTATTAGAATACCGAAAATTGGAGTCCACCTATAAGCTCTAATAGTATGTTATGAATACCAAAATTTAGTAGTTCTTAGTAATTCACTTAGTAGGTAGATGACAGTTGTCCCTTAGTCTTACTTACAAAAAGTGCAACTCAGTGACATTGCATACTCTTTAGTTCTTGAGAAATGGAGAAAGGACTTGGGTTTTTGGATTGGTTTTGCACATCAGGGGGACCTTTGCACGTACCCCAGACGATGCTTCTGTTATAATTAACTTAGGAGCACCTAAGATGTGTAGGGTTTCTGTTTCTTTTTTTTTTTTTTTTTTTTTTTTTTGAGACGGGGTCTCGCTCTGTCACCCAGGCTGGAGTGCAGTGGCCGGATCTCAGCTCACTGCAAGCTCCGCCTCCCGGGTTCACGCCATTCTCCTGCCTCAGCCTCCCGAGTAGCTGGGACTACAGGCGCCCGCCACCTCGCCCGGCTAGTTTTTTGTATTTTTTAGTAGAGACGGGGTTTCACCGGGTTAGCCAGGATGGTCTCCATCTCCTGACCTTGTGATCCACCCGTCTCGGCCTCCCAAAGTGCTGGGATTACAGGCTTGAGCCACCGCGCCCGGCCCTGGGTTTCTGTTTCTGAGCTGCATGTCTCCATCTTAGTTGCTGCTTTTGAGTTTCTCTGTCTTCTTATTGCTGTAAAATGTGCCCTGTGCCTACTTTGAGTGTCAGTTTTCTCCACCGTCATTTCTTTTCATTCTACACTCTCGCTTTATTTTTTGTTACTTGTATTGTGGATGGGAAAAACAGATAAAGTTGTTTAAAGCTACTCTAAAGTTAGCAAGTTGATTCTTAATGAGGATTCTCAATGTAAGAAACACAGATTTGTGTGTGTGTTTCTGCTGAAATAGTTTTAGATACTCAGGCATTATTTCCTTCTGGGTTTTTGATATTGTTTCAAAAATGGAAGTTGTAATAAGACACCTGTGTGTAGTTGAGTTATTAACTAAATATAGGGTTTAGTTTCCTAAATTAGAATTAGGAATAAGATACCAACCTGAAAGTACACAGTAAAATATATTCAAGGAAACAACTTTTCAGTGGGACTGAAGAGGTTCTTTTTATTATATCTGTATAGAGATAGCTTCCTAGATTTCACTGTACATGTAATATTATTACTCCTCCAAAAGACATTGGCAGGAGGTTTATTATTTATTTATTTATTTATTTTATTATACTTTAAGTTCTAGGGTACATGTGCACAATGTGCAGGTTTGTTACATATATATACATGTGCCATGCTGGTGTGCTGTACCCATTAACTCGTCATTTACATTAGCTATATCTCCTAATGCTATCCCTGCCCCCCCCATAGGACCTGGTGTGTGATATTTTTAAAATTTGAGGTATAATTTATATACAGTGGCCCCAAATTTTACATTCATTTTCTTAACCCCCACCTCATTGCCTTTTTTGTTAAACTATCATATTTTAAAAATATAAACTCATAGCCTGGTGTATGCAGGTATAGGTCAATATATATTGTATCTGGTGCAAATGAATACAAATTTTATTAATTTTCCTTAGGTTATACTGAAATATCCATACATTTGAATTTTCTTTGTACATCAAACTAGCTAATATTAAGAGTTTATTTTTTGTGTGGTGCAGTATATCTCCTAAAGTATTTACAAACAGAACTATATGTATATGTTAGTTAATTTGTTTATTTTGATCATTTTTATAGGATCCCATGGTCCATTATTGCCTTTGCCAAGTCGTTACAGAATGGGCTCTCGAGATACACCTGAGCTTGTTGCTTATCCATTACCACAGGCTTCTTCCTCTTACATGCATGGAGGAAATCCCTCTGGTTCAGTTGTAATGGTTAGTGGATTACATCAACTAAAAATGAATTGTTCAAGAGTCTTCAACCTATTCTGCTTATATGGAAATATTGAGAAGGTAAGTTTCTCTTTATATTAGTTTCTTTTGCTAGGATACTCAGTAGTAATTCTGAAAAGGCTGCAAATACGTGTCTTCTCCTTGTATCAGGAATATCCAAGTTCTTTCAGTAATGACCCACATAAGCTAAAAATCCATTATATAGGAACTCTGGAAAATGTTTTTTGTTGGTAAGTAATAAGTATAGGTTGTTGATATTACAAATATTTTTTAAATAACCATTATAAAAAGAAATCTAAAGCAGTAGTAATCAACCTTATGGTATGAGAGGCATGAAGTCTATATTTTTGTGATCTCATTTCAAAGAGATTCTAGCATTTAACATGTTGAAAGAACAGTTACTTTCATGGAGGGTATATGTAAAAACAAGCTTAAGAGCCCAGCCAGAAGTTGTGAATTTCAGAAGAGTTCTAGAATTTAGGCACTTGCCTCCTAAATGCCAGGGTTCTATTATCTTCAGAGGAACCATGTGCATTTAGCTCAATCAGTATTTGAAACTGACCCACTTTGATAGAATGTGTCCAAAACTTTCTGTCTAGCAATTTACATATTTTGGAGGTCTTTAATAATTGTAACTTTATTATCAAATAACTGTGTTTTCCCCAAATCTACGACATTTTATTTATTGATGTCTCACAAATGTGAGATAAATAGTTTTTGAAAGAATCATGGAAAATTTAACTAGGAAAGTGAATGGTAGTCTTAAGTTACCAGTTGTTTGATACACTTGCTAATTTGAGTTTTAGTACTGTAGTAATGTGTTTTTTTCCTGTTTTAAGTGATTTTAGTGTTCTTTGCAACAGTAAGTACTTGCAGCATGTGAGTCACTGTGTGGGAGGGGAACATGGCTTAAAAAGTTGGTACATTTAGTTCTTAGTTCATTAATTCTAAAGCCTCCTTGATCAAAGGAAGCAACTCTTCAAAATTCTGAAACAAGAATTTTGTCAACCATTTGATCACAGTAGGAAAAAAAAAAAAAAAGAAAACTCCACATTTGGTCTGGGGGATAACATATGGGATACTTACGCTTGCGTAACTGGCCAAGAATACATGGGATAGGTTTAGTAGCATTGGGAGAAGTATTATTTTCACACAGACACTTTATCTTAGACCCAAGTGTTAAGTGGAGGGAACTGCATGTTTGATAATTAAATGGGCTTTAATGTATATTTTAACTTCCTTTATATTTTCTTTTTGTGCTATTCACATATGCAGACAATCAGAATCAGGCAATTTAATCAACATTTTTAGTAGATCTTTGTCTTTTGTGTTATAAACTGTCTCATGATTTAGAAACTCAAATTACTTTTTCTAATGAAACTTAGATTTTCTATATGTTATTTGAGTAATTCTAGTGTCTTTCACTCTACATCTCCCAAGTTTTTAAAACATTTTAAATGATAGGCTGTGGTACATTGAACTCAAACTATCATAATCCTTTAAAGATCCGTATATAGTTAATTTTTTCTTTCTTTTGAAGATTTACCAATACAAGAACCACATATTTAATGTGTATATTTAGTCACTATTAGATTTGTAGATAGTCATTGGATTAAATCAAGGGAGAGAATTTAGCCCATGAGAAGACAAGAGATTTCAAATAAAGCTGAAAAATTGTTACAACTGAGTTTTGTTTAAGTACAGGTGTAGTATATCCTATTAAAGTGGGTAGTTGAAGTGATGGAAATAGATGCCATGTTGCATTTGTTGTGTAAATATATTCTCAGTATTCTTTAGAGGTCAATAGATAAGAAGGAAATACATTCAAGGTGTCATCTATGCCATTGATACAGGAGGCCTCCCTTATCCACAGTTTTGCTTTCAGTTACTCACTGTTAACTGCTCCAACAATAGGTGACTACAGTAAAATAAGATTCTGTGAGAGAGAGAGCATGTTCACATAATTTTTATTATAGTAGATCATTTATAACTTTTCTATTTTATTGTTTTGTTAGTCTATTACTGTGCCTAATTTATAAATTAAACTTTATCATAGGTATGTATGTACAGGAAAAAGTGTAGTATATATATGCTATGCTTATATATAGTATATACTATGCTTAACCTCTATCTGTTTTCTTTTCCTTTCTTTTCCTTTCTTCCCTCCTTCCTTCCTTCCCTCCCTCCCTCCCTCCTTCCCTCCTTCCCTCCTTCCCTCCTTCCTTCCTTCTTTCTTTCCTTCCTTTCTTCCTTTCCTCCCTCCTTTCTTTTCTCCTTTCTTTTTTCTCTTCTCTTCTCTTTTCGAGACGGAGTCTCGCTCTGAGTAGCTGGGACTACAGGTGTGTGCCACCATGCCCAGCTAGTTTTTGCATTTTTTTTTTTTGTAGAGATGGGGTCTCAACTATGTTGCCTAGGCTGGTCTCAAGCTCCTAGGCTCAACCAAGCATCCCACCTTGGCCTCTCAAAGTGCTGGGATTACAGGTGTGAGCCACTGCGCCAGGCATTGTCTGCAGTTTTAGGCATCCATTGGGGTTCTTGGAATGTATCCCTCAAAGATAAGGGGGAACTACTGTACTTAATAGCTACTTAGGGACTTCCAAGACTAAGCACTATGCTGAATGATATCATACTTTACACCTTCTAACCCTTACAGCATTATATTCTAAAACTGGAAATAGTACAAGAGGGTAACTTTGGCCTCTGCCCAAACTGTCCTGAAATAACATGTATTCCCCTACGTTGTACAGGCCTTCCTGTGACCATGCTATCTCAAGGCTATTTTGTATTATTTCTTTTATAGCATCTTGTTTGTTGCATTAATAGAATTCTACATAGTTTGTAATTACTATTTGTTTACTTTTACATTTCTGACTTAACTACTAGAATATAAGGTTCAGGAAGATAATGTCTGTTAACATTCACCATTAAATCCCCAGTACCTACCACAGTGCTTATGAATACATATTAGACACTTAATAAATATTTGTTGAAAGAATAAATATTAATGAGTCCTGCCAGATGGTATTATCTACATTTTCAACAACAATCCATGGCTCAGAGAAGTTAAGTATATTGCCCTCAAATCACATAATTAATATATAACATTATGTATTAATGTGCTGTTCTTCAGTGGGCTATACAATAGTAGTATAGTGTTCCTTTTTAACTACTGAATTTTGATAAGAGTTAAGGGTATCTCGTAACATGGCAGAATATAGTTAAAATCCAGGTGATCTTCTGTATTTTAAACCACTTAGGTCATATTGTCTTTAAAAAATTCTGCTACTGTAAAAGGGAATTAAATGGTCACCTTTTTGGGATTTTGTGTTTACAGGTAAAATTTATGAAGACCATTCCTGGTACAGCACTGGTAGAAATGGGTGATGAGTATGCTGTAGAAAGAGCTGTCACACACCTTAATAATGTCAAATTATTTGGGAAAAGACTTAATGTTTGGTAATTATCTATCTTAAATGATAAATTTTTAAAAATATTTTTAAATCTTTATCCTTTTTTATTAGAGACATTAATGTCAACTTGAGAATATTTTAATGTAACTGAGGGCACATCTTAAACAACAGCTGTAGTATTGTTATTTTAGATAAGGATTAGGGTCATATCACTCAGATTTTGCTTAGCTATACCTGTTTTTTAGTTTTATGATGATAAAACGTTAAAATGGGCAAGTTTTTATGTTAAAGTTTTCTAATATGAGAATATATTTAATAGATTTTCTTTCTAATTGATGTCTAAACTACAAGAGTGATTGATTATAACCCAAACTAAATCCTCTATTTAAATAGCTCTATGTATGCCTTTTTTGGTTAAGATTTATGCAAGCAAAATATATCAGCATTCTGAGACTACTTGTTGCTTTTTATCTAACAAAGTACTTTTGTATGTCTTTTCTTTCTAATCTTTAGCGTGTCTAAACAACATTCAGTTGTTCCAAGTCAAATATTTGAGCTGGAGGATGGTACGAGTAGCTACAAGGATTTTGCAATGAGCAAAAATAATCGCTTTACAAGTGCTGGCCAAGCATCTAAGAATATAATCCAGCCACCCTCCTGTGTTTTGCATTATTATAATGTTCCATTGTGTGTCACAGAGGAGACCTTCACAAAGGTAGGCACTGAAATACAAATGTGTATAGAATGTTGCCATTTCCTATTTTAAAATCTGTTTTAGCTTCATTTGGAAGTCGCCTTGCTCATTCTTTTGCTTTTGATATTATTAGTATTTTATTTACTTGGTACGGATAATTTATTCTTTGACTGTTGTACTTTTTTGGCCTCCATTCCTCATTGGTCTTTGTTGATGTGTGGTTCAGTCCTTTTGAGAGTTGGAATTAGAATGAGGTCGTCTTACTCCTGCATTCAGAAAGTTATTTAAAGACATTCATGTCTTTAAATCTCACCCACAACAAAATTTTATCCATATTGTTTCCCCTAACTTAGAAAATGCTAAGTAAGAATTGTAAGAAATGCTTCAGATAAATGATTTTCTGGAACTCTACTCCCTACCTTAAGTACTAGATAAATCCTGGTCAACTCTGAGAATATGTATTTTAGTTAACAAATTGGTGATTTTATTGTACGGCACTAAGTTACTTAACATAATTTATAGAATTTTACTGTTTTTAATTGATTTTCTCATACAACTTGAGAAAGTATGTAAAAACATACTTGATTTAATCCATTCATTCCAGAATTGAAACTTAAATTCTGCCATAAAGTTTACTTTCTGTAAAAAAGTGGGATATTATTTTGACTATATTTTTAATGAAGTTTTACTTTCTTTGGCAGTTGTGTAATGACCATGAAGTTCTTACATTCATCAAATATAAAGTGTTTGATGCAAAACGTAAGTGAACAGTCCCTCTTTTAAAGTTTTCTGGTTAAGTTGGTGATAAGCAAGTAATAATAACTGAGTTTGTGTTTTTTTGTTTTAGCTTCAGCCAAAACACTTTCTGGGCTATTAGAATGGGAGTGCAAAACTGATGCAGTAGAAGCCCTGACGGCACTGAATCACTATCAGATAAGAGTCCCGAGTAAGTAAAATGCTGTATTTGTGTCATAATTATTTAGTGGGAGTTACCTTCACAGAAACATTCATGGTAATATAAAAATAACACTTAATAGGCTTCTTAAAAAATACAGATAAATACGAAAACAAAAGGCATATTAATTCCTGTATTGCTGTATAACAAATTGCTATACAATTTAGCATCTTAAAACAGCAAACATTTATCATCTTACTGTTTCTGAGGGTTAGTATTTTGGGTGCATTTCAGCTGGGTGATTCAGGCTTAGGATCTCTCATGAAGTTGGCAGTCAAACTGTTATCTAAGTCTGCAGTAATCTCAGGGCTTGACTGAAGCCAGAAGATCCACCCCCAGGCGCACTCATGTTGTTGTGTGCAGGCTCAGTCAAGCCACATTGGCCTTTTCATGGTAGCTGACTTCTCTCTGAGTGATCCAAGAGATAAATCAACAATGTTTTTTATAACCTAACATTGGAAGTGGCATACCATCACTTAACGTTACAATTTTTTTGGTCACAGAGACCAAACATAGTACAGTGAGTGTGGGAGGGGACTATACAGGGTGGGAGTACCAGGAGGTTGGAATCACCTTCAAGCTATAACTTCTACAATCCCTATTGATCATTTTAGAGGAAAGCAATACATGCATATGGTTAGAAAACTCAGACAGTACATAAAGGTACAAAATGAAAAGTTAAAGCTTTCTACAACCTCGAACCTTTTGTCTCATTCTTTTTTTCTTCCCTAGTGTGTGTATATAATTATATATATTTTTAAAACTTGGCCGGGCCCTGTGGCTCACACCTGTAATTCCAGCACTTGGGGAGACTGAGGCAGGCGGATCGTCTGAGGTCAGGAGTTTGAGACCAGCCTGGCCAACATGGCGAAACCCTGTCTCTACTAAAAATACAAAAAAAAAAAAAAAAAAAAAATTAACCCGGCGTGGTGGCACACACTTGTAGTTTCAGCTACTTGGGAGGCTGAGGCAGGAGAATTGCTTGAACCCAGGAGGTGAGGTTGCAGTGAGCCGAGATCACGCCATTGTCCTCCAACCTGGGCAACAGAGCAAGACTCCGTCTCAAAAAAAAAAAATAGAAAAACAAAATGATTCTTCTGTACATACTTGCCTATGTCTTGCTGTTTTCACTTAATATATCTTGGAGCTATTTCTATATTGCCACATTCAAAGCTGCTTTTTTAAAGCATTTTCAGGATAGCTATTTATAATTGAGATGTATCACAGTTTTGTCTTATTTACCATATCTCCCCACTGATGAACACTCTGGTTGCTTCTGTTTGTTTTTATCTGTTATTGTAATATAATATAAACATCCTTATAGTTGCACTTTTTTATTTTTTAATATTTTTTAGTTTTTAATTTTTTTTTTTTTTTTTTTAATAGAGACAAGGTCTCACTGTGTTGCCCAGGCTGGTCTTGAACTCCTGAGCTCTGCCTCAGCCTCCTAAAGTGCTAGGATTACAGACGTGAGCAACCACGACTGATCAATAGTTGCACTTTCTAATGTGTGTTTTTAGGACAGTTTTTCAGTAGTGTAGGACATGAAGATTTATAGTTAGGTAAAATGTTGCTAGATTGTACCTTATAAAGGTTGCACCAGTTTACATTACCACCTGTGGTATATGAAAATGTTCATTGCTCAGCACTCTTAGCAACACTGAGTGTTGTCAGATACTCAATTTTTACCAGTATGATAGATTAAAAATGGTATTCTGTTGTTTTAATTTGTGCCAAGTGAAATTGTTACCGCTTGTTTATTGTCTCCATTATACTAACAATGGCCTCTTTTTTTTTTTTGAGACGAGTCTCACTCTGTCCCCCAGACTGTAGTGCAGTGGCACAATCTCAGCTCACTGCAACCCCCGCCTCCCAGGTTCAAGCAATTCTCCTGCCTCAGCTTTCCAAGTAGCTGGGATTATAGGCACCTGCCACCACACCCAGCTAATTTTTGTATTTTTGGTAGAGACGGGGTTTCACCATGTTGGCCAGGCTCGTCTCAAACTCCTGGACTTCATGATCCGCCCACCTCGGCCTCCTGAAGTGCTGGGATTACAGGCATGAGAAAACTCAAGTTTAATTTTTGAAACTTTGTGCTGTGTAATTTACTTTGATCCTGGATCTAAAGGGTATTTAAATAATAGGGGAACCTTATTGGGTGTGGTGATGAATGATGGTTTAAAAAAGAGAAAAAAAACCACTGAATGATTTATGGGTGGAATAACATCTGAAATTTGCTTTGAAATATTCTGTCTTTCAAAACTACGTGTGAAGGGTAGGTAGATGAAGTAAGACAGCCAAATATTGACAATTACTGAAGCTGAGTGATAGGTATGTGGGGATTCATTAAACCTATCTATATTTTTGTGTATGTTTGAAAATTCCTTAATAAAAAGTAAGAAACACTTTATTTTTTTTTGAGACAGGGTCTTGCTCATGTCCTAGCCTGGAATGCAGTGGTGCAATCACAGCCTACTGCAGCCTCAACTTCCCTGAGCTCAAGTGATCCTCCCACCTCAGCCTCCCAAATAGCTGGGGCTACAGGCATGCAACACTATGCCCAGCTTATTGATGTATATTTATTTTAAAAAATGTTTTAGATGGGGGGGTCCTGCTGTATTGCCTAGGCTGGTGGTCTTGCACTCCTGGCCTCAAGCAATCCTCTGGCCTCAGCCTCCCAAGTTGCTGGGATTATAGGCACAAGCCACAATGTCGACTTCCTTCTCATTTTACTTTTAGTTTAAAAAAAAAAAGGGAAATGTTATTAAGTAGTGAGTCAGGCTTAATTTTTGAGAGAAAGTTTTAAAAAGCTTTAAAGTTATATGAAATACATTAGAGATAGTATATAAATTGTAAACTATTTGCAGATAGGGACAGTTATGTATGTTTTTATCCTCCGCAGTGTCTTGTACACACTTGTTGATGCATATGCTTTTCCCCTTACAGGAATTTTTTTTCTTTAATGAACTACAGCTTTTAATACTAAAATTGTGATACATTAAGATAGCAAAACCGGTTCTTTGCTTTGATTTCTTATATATACAGTTGAGGAAGAGCTATTTTCTGCCTGGTCTGAAAAATTAAAGGAAAGAAAAATTTGCAAAGTGGAAATATTTTTGTGAAGTATACCCAATTTTTTTTTTTTCCCCAGTAATTTCAAAACTTACATGCCCCATTGATGAAGAGAGATTTAATACTAGATTTCCTGGAAACTTTTGGGATCACAGATGTCTTCATGTACATTCCAGCTTTGTACATGTACAAAGCTTTGTAAATTCCAGCTTTGTACATGTAAATGTAAATTCCAGCTTTGTACATGTACATTCTCTGCTCACTGCAAGCTCCGCCTCCTGGGTTCACGCCATTCTTCTGCCTCAGCCTCCCGAGTAGCTGGGACTACAGGCGCCTGCCACCACGACTGGCCAATTTTTTGTATTTTTAGTAGAGATAGGGTTTCACTGTGTTAGCCAGGATGGTCTCGATCTCCTGACCTCGTGATCCGCCCACCTCGGCCTCCCAAAGTGCCGGGATTACAAGCGTGAGCCACTGCGCCTGGCCTGAATTGACTTTTATAGAGAGTTAACTGCTGGCAATATTTTTGCAATGTGAACTTTGCTGCTTAATCCTGATACTATTTATTCTTTTTGTTTTGTTTTGTTTTGTTTTTTTGAGACGGAGTCTCGCTCGGTCCCTCAGGCTAGAGTGCAGGCTGGAGTGCAGCGGCCTGATAATCAGCTCACTGCAAGCTCCGCCTCTCCGGTTCACACCATTCTCCTGCCTCAGCCTCCTGAGTGGCTGGGACTACAGGCGCCCGCCACCATGCCCGGCTAGTTTTTTTGTATTTTTTGTAGAGACGGGATTTCACCATGTTAGCCAGGATGGTCTTGATCTCCCAACCTCATGATCCACCCGTCTTGGCCTCCCAGGCATGAGCCACCACGCCCGGCCAATACTGTTTATTCTTTAATGATCAGTTCACTAAAAAAAATTGAGTGCCGAACAGTGTTGAGAACAATAGAAATGTAGCAGTCAATAAAGTCTGCCTTCATGAGCTTACCTTTCAGTAAATATGAATAAAAATCTTCCCCTTACCTTACTTAGAAATTTTACTTTTTTTTTTTTTTTTGAGACGGAGTCTCACTCTGTCACCCCACTCTGTCACCCAGGCTGGAGTGCAGTGGTACAATCTCAGCTCGCTGCAACTTCCACCTCCCACCCAGGTTCATGCAGTTCTGCCTCAGCCTCCAGAGTAGCTGGGACTACAGTCGCAAACCACCACACCAAGCTAACTTTTGTATTTTTAGTAGAGAGGGGTTTCGCCTTACTAGCCAGGCTAGTCTCGAACTCCTGACTTCAGGTGAGCCACCAAGTCTGGTCAGTTTTACTTCTTTATATTCCTGCTTTATATTCACCATATTCTTTATATTTAGTATAAAAAGGTGAAATAATTTACTCTGGTACTTCAAAGTGATATTGAAAGTTTGATGAAGTGAAATATTAACTCTGTTTTTTACTTTTTACAGATGGTTCCAATCCCTATACATTGAAGCTTTGCTTTTCTACATCATCCCATTTATAAGAAGAGAAGAGCATGTTAGAATTTATGTTCACCTTTATTACAATTTCAAAGCTACACTTCATTAAAAAAATCTAAAATGGTTGATCTCATGTTGCCTTGCTTACTTTAAGATCCTGTTCTGTAATAAACATATTTTGCCTTGAGTAAATTTGTTGTAAACTTAAATATTGAATTGTTTTCATTTTAAGATAGAATATCATAATGTAGACTATCTACAGCTTCATTGTAGATTATACAGATATATAATTTCTAACCTTATTACTGTAATTTTTCTTCCACAGTAAAAATATATTTGCATTCTTAATGCTAATTATCTGCAAGTATTTTTTCATTGTGTAAGAGATTAATGCAGGTGAAAGTATTGCATTTTAATATAGAATTCCTATTATATGTTTAGATGTTTAAGTATGTTGCAGTTACTCATATTAAACATAACTTTGTATTTATTTAATCAAGTTTGAGAATAACATCACATATGTTGAATTTTAAGTACTACAGATTTAACTGATTTTATATTTCTGAAAGGCTAACAGACATGGATACACTTGTACAGTATGCATTCAAACTTATTTAAATTGGTGTATTTTTTTTTAAGTCAGTGTCCATTTGTATTGACATGCCTCTCTGTTTCTAGTCCAGTTTGGAGATTTTATAAACTTATAACAATGAGTTAATGTGTTCATTTTCCTTTGTTGCATGTGACTTAAATACAGCTAGTATTTGGCATTGAGATTTTAATAGAGGTTATAATTAACAGTTCCTCTTATAGATAATAATCTGGGATCTATGGGTGGGCTTCAGAGAATCTGTGTACCCCCTAAAATTGTATGTAGAATTTTGGATATTTACATTTTTATTTTTTACTCTTGAATCCATCAGTAATATGTATTTTTCTATATGGTACAAGATTTAAGGATCTAATTTTATTTTTATTCCAAACAGATAGCTATTTGTCTCAATACCATTTATTAAACATTCTTTCTCCCACTGGATCTGCTTTTTTTTTTTTTTCTTTTTAAAATAATAGATTTTATACCTAGGCAAGTAAGATTTAAGGACCAAACGTGGTATTAAGAGACTATAGCACGATTGTTACCAAGTTCACAGCTTTTTTACAATAGAAAAACTGATGTGGCCATTTTGTTTTCATCTTTAAAAAAAGGGAGAATATGTGTCATCTACCTAGAATAACTGATATCAATAGTTGGTAATAGCAGTTTTGTAATCCTGACACTTTTAAACAAATTTGTAAATGCAAGTTCCATTTAGATCTTTTGTAAAGACTTTATTTTAAATTTTAATTTAAAAGTCCTTTTATAAATAAGGCACGTGTTTACAGTTTTAGAGCTGTTTAATAGAAAGTTTAGATGGAAACTAAACACACATTAACATTTATTTCCCCTCATTTTGATGGCAGTGGACCAGCATTTCCTCTAAAGATAAATAAAAAATTAAATTTTAACCTAGAAGTATTTTAGACCCTTATCACAGAACCCAGTAAGTTATGCCAAGGGTAACTGTGTGAACTGTGTTCGATACTGGGCTATGTATGTTTCTTACTCGTTGCCAATTTAATACCTAAGTTTATCTAACTTTACAATAAACAAAGCTTTTTTCCCCCTATAAATACTTTTCTACCTCTGTTGAAAAATTGAAATGCCTTAATTTTGGTTTATGTAATAGTTGTCTACTTTCTTTCCTCCTCTGAAAATTAATGTGGGTTACAGAATTACAGACTTTTTTTTTTTTTTTTTTTTTTTTTTTGAGACAGAGTCTTGCTCTGTCACCCAGGCTGGGGTGCAGTGGCCGGATCTCAGCTCACTGCAAGCTCCGCCTCCCGGGTTTAGACCATTCTCCTGCCTCAGCCTCCCGAGTAGCTGGGACTACAGGCGCCCGCCACCTCGCCCGGCTAGTTTTTTGTATTTTTTAGTAGAGACGGGGTTTCACCGTGTTAGCCAGGATGGTCTCGATCTCCTGACCTCGTGATCCGCCCGTCTCGGCCTCCCAAAGTGCTGGGATTACAGGCTTGAGCCACCGCGCCCGGCCTACAGACTTTTTAATGCCTAAGATATTAAGAAATAAACCTGTAGGTATTGGCAGGGCATTTAGATTTTAATTAGTTTTGACTTGTAGAAATGATTTTTATCTGTAAGGCTCTCTCTCTACCAAAATAAGTGTATTCTTTGGGAGTAAACTGGTTGGTAAGTTGGGCCTTGCTGATAGATATATGCACTGGTGCGTAAGCCCTATACTGCTGCTGTCACTAATGTTTTTGATAGTTTACTTAGGGATGACTGCTGTTAATGAAGTTTGCTTTGTGAATACACCCTCTTTCCTTAGCCTTGGCAACATTCTTCTCTGAGCTATCTTTATGCTTTTAGAAGAACAAGAAAAATCAGATTTAAGAACTATAAAGAAATAATACTAGCTTTGAGTTTCTTTAAAAAAATATTGAAATCCCATCTCTGTATCCAAATCCTACTACGTATTTGATAATAAATCTGCCAAACTGAGTTATGGAATATGAGCTGCCTTTTAAAAATCCCTGTTCTGCTAAAGGTGTTGCTTCACCAAATAAAAATATTTGCAACTGTAGCCAACATGAGACTTTGCAAACATCCTAGTGATTTGGTTGTCTCAACTATGTCTTGAACAGAATTGAGAAGAGGGGAAAAAATGACTAAATGGGGTCAGTTGTTTCATGTTTTCTTTACAGACAGGCTGCTAGGGAACTGCAAAGTAGCTGTCAGTGATACTCTTTCTGGAATACAGAAATTTTGAGTGGAGAACATTCTCCCATACTTAGGAATCTGAAGCACAAGGAGCTTTGCTTCTCTTAAAGGTAACGAAAGTGCTTGTGAGATAACAGCGATGAACTTCCTATCTCCATGTGGTTGTTTGGTCTAAGAGACTTTTAGTCCACTGAGGGTTCGTGTGAAGAGTAGCAGGCCTTTGTCTTCACAGTACTGCAGCTCTGCTCATGATGATTTTCAGTGTCAACCAAAAAGTAAGTGAATGTGCAGGCATGAATACTATTTAAACCAAATAAATTATTTGGGATATTAAATCGCGGATATTTTGGATTTTAAATAGTGGATATTTAATCCATAATATCGTTGCTTTTGCCTAAAACCTAACATTTTCATCAAATGGATTCAAGTGTTAATTAAAACCTAATATATTTTATTTAGCAAAATACCATCTTCTAGGGATCTTAGTTCTAATGTTTTTTGAACTTGAACAAATAAAATGGACTTTGCTTTACTAGTTACTTTCATAGAAAGTCCTTCATTCGAGGGAACACTTGAAATTCTCTGAGTTTTAATTTACAAATGAGGAAGCTAGTAATGTTGGATATTGTTTTCTCTATCCTCCATTCCACCCTCCCCTATTTTTTAGCAGTAATCAAGGTTTGAGTGAGCCTTATTGACTTAGCCTCATCACTCTAACTCAGTACCTCTTAATAAGGGTGGCAGGTCTTCCTAGAGGGGTATTTTGACAGTTTGTAGGGGTGTTTTTTCAGTGTTTAGGGGACGCTGCAAACAATTCGATGGGTAGGACCAGGAAGAATTATCCCTTGTCCTACATGACGTTCCGATTTCTTATCAGATATTCAAATAGGTAAAAAACCTGTTTATAATGACCTGATCCTAGAGTCTGACTTTTTAATATATTAATGCAAAATATTTTTGTGTGGTTTTAATATGCAGTACACTGAATTTTTAGCAATACAACTACCTTACAAACCAAGGAAATAATGTTTAGAATGCTTTCGAGAGTTGTTTGCCATTTTGGAAAATTAAATCATCAACGTATTATTGGGATTGCCATTATAATACACAAGGGTCAGTCTTCATTTGTCACATTCATCTCTGTATTCTATTGTAGCCATGCCTGAGCATTTATGTATTACAACATATATTTTATCATAAATTTTACTTCTCCCTTAACAATTAGAGTTTTATTTGGTTTTTCTTTAAGCTGTGTGTGTCTGTGTGTAGGTAGGTATTATCTAGGAATTTTATTTCAGCATAGTAAAAGGATATCAGATTGGGTGGGGAACCACTGTTGTAAACAAGGTAATAGTCTGATTCTGTGTTGAACAGGTAACCTAGGCTGATCCAAAGAGAATGACACCTAGGATTTGTTGACGAATGGATGAGGAAGTGCTCTCGCTAAAGAGTGTGGTCTGCTTGTGTAAGGTTAGGCCTGGGACTGTTAGAGACATTTTGCTGTCTTGAGGGAAACTAGCTAGTAGAGAAAAATTGAATACACAGTGGAAACCACCTTGAGCATAGGCTCATTGGGTATTTTGTGCACAATACACCCATCTTCAGAGTTCTCTTTTGAGTTTGAAAACACAACCTATGTATTTTAAGGGTCTCCATTTGCCTAAATCTCATCTTTAGCAGTTTAATCTACAAACAACACAATAAAATGAAAGCACTGACAGTTGTTTGACAAAAGGCACTATTTTAAACATGATATATCTTTGTCTTTTTGCTAACCATAGGCTTTATTTTTTGGTAACTCTAAACTTTTTGTTTTGTAGAGGGGGGGGTCTCACTATGTTGCCCAGGCTGTTCTTTAACTCCTGGCCTCAAATGATCCTCCGCTTTAGCCTCCCAAAGTGTTGGAATTACACGCATGAGACTACCTTGTACTCTTCTGTCAGGTACCACAAAGTTTAGACATAGATGTAATATTTATGGACACTTACTGAAAGTATTGTGTGTAGATTTGTTAATGGCTCTTTCAAGGGTTTCTAAAACTTAATGGACAAAAATTACATATATGGGTATAATGTATACATTATGAAATGGCTCAATCAAGTTAATTAACATCCACTATGTCGCATACTTTTGTAGTGAGAACATTTAAAATAGACTCGGGTCATTTAATTTTTAAGAGCAGAAAGCTTATTTATATGTACCTTAGAAATCTCTACTGTATACATTAAACCCTTGTAAGTGATACAGAACTGCTAATAAAGTAAAAGCACTGAATTAGTGGCAATCTCTGATTTGAAAACTTTCACACCTCCCTTGTGGGGTGACACAGTAATCAGGCTAAGCTGCAGAGCAACCTTGAAATGTTTGCTTTGAGTTGAGTTGATAATTATAATCTGGTCATCATTTATTTTTTCCTTTTTTTTTCTCCCCAGTAATACCAAAAGAAATTAAGAAGTAATGTTATTTTTTTTTTTTCTGGGAAGTAATCATAGTTTATTGAGAGCCCGGAAAATCAGTAAATGGCCTTAAAGATTTGGATTGTTACCATAATTTTAGTATAGCGTATTAAATAACAGTACCGGTGGGATAGCTTGGGAGTGTGAAACCTGATTACAACTTACGATTGTGAAGTTTAGGTTATTAAGGTGATTTTTGGATGTGACTTTATGTGAAATAACCTTTTCTTAGGAGAGTAGGGGAAGAAAAACAAGGTAGATAATGCCTGTGCTGCACAGTGATATTTAGCAGTGCTTCTCAACAGTTAGGAACATTTTATTTTGTGGGGAGATGATTTCATGACTAACAAAAAGGATCATGTGGGAAACTTTTAAAAAATACTGATATCCCAGATAATCTGCAGAATCTGACTGACTTGGACTATGTGTGTATATATTCAAAGCAAATTTTGTTCATTGATTTCCATTTAAAATATCTGATTTTTGATGTCACAAAGCATGAATGTAAAGTAGATAATATTTTTGTTGCAACTTAAAAATTCAAATAATGACAATTTTAAACCAAAAAACCTTCAGTTTCTACAAAAACCATTTCACTAGTGTCACTTGCAACCATTTGGCTTCATGGATATTTCAGGCATTTATTCCAGCTTCTATCAAGTACACTTCGTATGCCAGACAATACAAGTTCAGGCAGATGGTTAGCTTTAAAAAGTCAGTAGGTTCATTTGAGCTTAGAAGGGAAGCAATGGAAAAATGGCTAAACCTTGTTTCTAAATACGAGGCAGACTGTTTCCTAAATCCTTAAGAGGAACTGAAAATTGATTAATGAGTCTTTAGTCTTTGGGTAATATAATCTAAATATTTTAGCTTTTATGAATTCCACTATAAGATGAAAAAATAAGGTCAAGGAATGATCAGCACTTGTGGTGGGGGTGCGAAGGCTGTCTAATCATTCCATTTCACAAACTGGGGGTGAGAGGCCCAGATTTTTGTGATCTACCCAAGTTTAACAAAATAAACGGGGATATAATGACTTGAATCCAGATGTTAATGCTCAAAATCTTACACAAAAGCCCTTTTGAGTCATTGAAGTAATTGGCTTTTCTCAGTGAGTAGAAGTATAAGCTGTAGTAGCCTAAGCAATGTTATCTGCTTTGGTAAATGATTAGAAAGCAAAATTCTGGTTGCCAGCTGGGGGTAATGGAGGTGTGATTGTTATTGGCTACAAGATATATTTTGGGTGATCAGAATGTTCTGATGGTTGTACACCTTGTGAATGCACTAAATGCCACTGAATTGTATACTTTAAAAAGGTTAAAATAGTAATTTTATTTTACTACAGTAACAAAGTAGGTCTAGCCCACCAATCCTTTAGTTTAAATAAGGGCTAATATGGGTCTGCAAGGCTTAAATGTAGCCGGTTAGATACATTTGGG